TTTGTCTTTACCTACCCTGATGATGACTTAAGAAAATCGAAGGCTTGGACTATATTTCTTCCAAAATAAAATTTAGACAATTTTTGATGGAATTTCCTCCTTATATGAGAAGGATTATTCATAACTTAGAAAAGTTGAGCAATAAAATTAATTGACACAAAATGTCTTTTGTCTTTAATAACATTTGCCTTAAAGAACATTTGCTGCCTAAATACACAGAATAGAAATTTCTATATCCTATTCTCTCATACATTTCTCCAGAAATGTGTACATACTTAACTTCAACTTAGTTGAAAGTAGAACACATACTTATAAAATATATAGATTTAAGTCTGGCCCATGAAAAGTATTATCAGGCAAACAAGATGAATAAACTCTTTAACAGGATTGATCCAAATAAAATAATTAAATTTCTTAAGGAAACCAAGATATATTAAAAATTTTAAGCACTAACTAATCTTGACAAATAAGTAAATGAAGAAAATAAAATAATCTTCAACTGAACTTCATACCAAAATATATTAACTTTAAATGAAACCCTTTATGAATGCTATCATTTTCAACTAGATTAGTTCAGAAATTAAATTTAGTACACAAACCATGATAGCCAATCAAATCTTATTAGGCATGTAATGACCTAACAGAGGTTGATATGCCTTTAAACCAAACATGATTGAAATGAGTTGAAATGAATTAAAATCTGATTTCTAAAATGATTCTGTCAAAGTAAAACTCCTGAATCACTTTTTTTCTTGATAACAGATTTTGGTGAAATAAAATTCTTTTTCTAATAACAGATTCATTTGTGAAACATGTCAAAATAGAAGTTTTCCAAATTGTCTTTTATATTTACCATTTAAATATATTCTGTATATTATTATGCATTTTGTGTGTAAAAATATTTACAAATTGTGCATGCAAACCATACCCAAACACCTACTTTTATATATGCACTTACATTTTTTATATATAATTTTTCCTTATGTTTCAGGTTGTGATAACAAGCAATAATTTTGCTGTTCATCAATGTGAAGCCCCCAATGAACGGACTGTAATCTATATGTATATAATTGGTGCCGTGTTGTCCTTTTTTTCATTGTTTTTGCCCAGAACTGGTACACGCCGAATGGCTGGCTGGTCAGTGTCAGTCAACAAGAAAAGCTAGCAAACTCAGTGGTTGTCTTTGTCCAGATAGCCATTCCCTTTTTAAAAGGAGTTCAAACATTCCATTACAAATGCACACACACGCACACAGTATTGTTGTACACATATATATGCACACATCCATATACATTGACATATATTAATCTACACAGTGTAAACCAGTAGACACGCTTATGAGAAAATGCACTTTGGCTAGCATCACTGTTCTGATCTGTATATCTTCAGTATAAAAATTAATGTGTAGATGTTATCAGGGCTTATACTGCAAAATACTTTGAAAAATATAACCAAAGTATATATATCTATGCATTACCAAAGTTTCACAAAGTTTAAACTTTGGACCAAATAGATAATTTGTAGATAAAAAAATGCCTACATATGTACTATAAATAATTTATAAAACTTGAGACTAATTGCTAACCTAAATTATTATAATTGCATTTTTGATGGTTTTGTTGTTAAAAATTGTTTTTTTTTTCTTTTAACCTTTTTAAGTTAGCTGTTTCTTTATATATTTTTTCTTTTTTGAAATGTTACTGAAACAAAATTTTGTCAGTGCCTGTATTATACATGATGTTTGGTTGAAATCAGTCCATGCATCAGAGATATGATGTGAAACTGCATAAATCCTCTAACATTGTTTTTATATGGAAGATATACCTCCATGCATACATATTAATATATGTGATGCAGTCTTTTCAATACATACAATTGTGTATAAATTATTATTATAGGTCTCCAATCTGCTCCCAATATATATTGTTTATATGAAGAAAAAAAAAAGAATTAACATGAGTTTTCTCTGACTTATCTTTCCACATTATTTTGTCATAAAATGAGAAGGAAAGAATTGAATTTTTAAAATTCTTTTCTCAGATGAAAAATAAAAAAAAATTATGATAAAAGAAAAATGTTAGTTTTTTTCTTTTTTTTTTTAATTTCATAATTTTTTTTTTTTTTTTTTATCATTGGAAGTTTAAAAAATTTTGAAATTTAAAAAAACATATTTTTGTGTATTTTATTATTTTCTTTTCTTTTTTTTTCTACTTTTTCTTTGTTTAATGATTTTTTTCCTGAACATAAAGAAATAAAAATGATTTGATTTTAGGGGGAAAAATCCCCTCCCCACCAAAAAAAGGTGAAGATTATGGTTCAATGTCTTAAAATCTTTTTTGACTTTATAAATTTTTTTCCTGTCATTACTTGTATAAATTTCTTAGTGATGTCAGTGATTTGTATCACCTAAAAGTTCATGTCTACTACCCTTGCACAACTAACCTGAAAAGAAGGTAATGACAGGTATATAAATACTTTTTATTATGCTAAGCCACATTTTATATCACTCTCTGCACTTAAAAAGCATGGAAACAAAAAACAAATATGTATTGCTTAGTTTTATTTAAACTTTTGCTCACTGAAAGAAAAATAGTGCACTATATGTGAAAAGCCTCAGTAGATTGTTTATCAGCTTAATTCAAGAAAAGTTCTGGCATATTCTGAAGAATTTGGTACATAAATTTTGTTAGTAGTTCATCTCTTAATTGTGACAGTTGAATAAAATCCTCGATTATGAAATTTACAAAAAAAATGTTTTGTGTCTTTTCTGTAAGATGAAGGGCCAACTTTTAAAAACTCTAAAATGTATGAAAACTGTTTTAGAAACTTAGATATTTGCTATTCAATTTGTCCTGGTAAAAGAATCCTAAGGATGGTTGTTACTACTATGAGTTACTTCCCTTGCTCACTGTCTTTCTCCGAAAGCTGTTCATATAAACAAATTGATAAATTAAGGAAAGTATTATTTAATTATTTCATAATGTTTTTTTTTCTGTATGGTAAATATTTAATCTCTTTACATGAAACACTTTCTGATTTCTTTAGAAGCTACAAATTGCTTTATTTTCACTAATTTGATAACTCATATTTCATATTTGGCATCCCATGAGTACTATTTATGGCTGTAATTGGACAAAATAGTACAATTTTTTTCTTAACATTTAATGATTTTTTTAGCTTTGATTATTCTCATCCCTGTTTTATTATATTGTTTCAGTTGATTGATTCTTCAAGCTTTTTGCAAGGGAATTCCTGTCTAGTGTATTTTTACTCTTGGTTCAGAGCTGTTTAGAATTTGGTCTTTTGGACTGTGTCATAGTGATCTTTTGCTTTGCTTGACCAAATTCAGTTTCATTAATAGCAAACAAGATGGATATGTTGAAAGGATTTGGGCCAAATTCACTTCTATTTTCCCAAACCAAAGACCAAACATCAGAAATAGGTTAGGCCAAAATCTTTACAGCACCACTTGTACTTTGTTAATGCCTGTTTCTTTTTTTTTTTTTTTTTTTGTTTCATATCTGCCACTTTAAACACATTCCAGTGAGGGTGATGTTTTTTTTTTTTTTTTCTGTGAGCTTTATTTTTTTCCATGCTTTACTTGCAGTAACTTTATTGCAATGTGAAATATCACAAATGGTTTATTAAATTTTGGAATCTTATAAACTTGCTGATATTTATTCTTTGGTGAATTTTTTTTTTTTTTTTACGATTTCTTGTTCCTACTTGGAATTCATTTTCAGTTTGTACTTTCTAATTGAAACCTTTTGGATATAAATGATTCAAAGGAATCTTCTAGATCAATAAGATTTCACTCTGGAATAAAAGTCACTTGAAAGAGAAAGGAAAGATCTAATCAAGTTAAGTGTAGGGAAAAGGTTAAAAAAAGAAAAAAAAGCAATAATTAGGAAAAATGAATCACAAGACGACAAACAAAAAATAATTCTCCTTGTATGTTAATAAAGAATTAAGATAAACATTGATTTGACATAAAAATAATAATTTTTATTTTCACAAAAAATTTTAGAATGATTGACATTTTCTGCAAGAACATGAATCAGGAAAGGAGACTATGAAGAAAAATAACTGATCTCGTACAATAACACACCCTTATCTGTGGGAATAAGGTTCCAAAAACTCCTAGTGAATGCCTGGAACTGCAAATACTCCCAAAACCTACATACATATATATATATATATATATATATATATATATATATATATATATATATATATATATAATGTGTTGTCTACACTGTTCTTTTTTTTATTTATTTTGTAAATATTTCTTGTTCCTATTTGGAATTCATTTCTATCTTGTAATTACTAATCAAAATCCTTTTGATAATTCCAGATGATCCAAAGGAATCCTCTAAATAAGACTTCACTCTGGATTAAATTTCACCTATGGGGGGGGGGAATAATAAAAATAATTTATCAAAACGTTGATCATAAGATGTGAGACAAAAAGTATCCAATTATCATTTAATCTAATAAAGAATTAAGGAAATATTGATCTGACAAAAAAATCTTTTGCACTTATTAGAAAAACTTTTAAATGAATGTTGAAGATTTTTTTGACATTAAGGAGGGTGGGGGTTCTCACAAAAAAGAAAATTTTCATTGTGCTCTTGATTACAGAAGAACAATGTAGTACAGTAGCCATCTCTTATCCAGGGTGTGGGGGATATAGGTTCCAAGACCCCTCCCAGTGGATACCTGAAAGTGGAGGCATATGCCAAACCACAAATACTCCAAATTCTGGAGGCCGTTGTAATAAAAAAATGAGTAGCTAGCATTAAATAAGGTGTCTTTTCTCCATACGGGACTGTATGTTGAGGTGTGTTTAATATGAATAAAACACACATGCACAAAAAAAAATCAGTTTGTTTATATGATGTCATCTTGAGTGATTTGAAATTGGTTCCATCAAACATTAGAACATCGAAATTAAAAACCAGATGTGTAACTACACACAGAACAATCCTTGAAAACTAATGTAGCAACATTTGAAAGTACTTGGAGTGGGGGAATAATATAAAATAAAAGCTAATAAGAATTTTGGCAAATTTACTGATAACACAAAACAACTTATTTGGAAATTTAAAAAAGATTTAATAATAAAAAAATAGACTTTATTATAATATATATATATATATATATATATATATATATATATATATATATATATATATATATATATATATATATATAATGTAACCCGGATATAAGAGAGTTGTCAGGACCGGAGAAGAAGTCTCTTATATCTGGGTTTCTTATATCCGGGTTTGGTCTATTTTATAGGCATTAACACAGGCTCTAATTTGGGACCAGAAAATCTCTCTTCTATCTGGGTTACATATATATATATATATATATATATATATATATATATAATTTTTATGATACAATGTCTAATTTATAAATTAAGTTTTAAGAGATTAGTAATAATAACTAATAATAAAATAGACCAATTATAATAATTTACTATAATAAACATTATGTGAGGGAGTGACAATTTCTCCTGACTTTAGATCTTAGCAACCTGAGCATTTTTTTTTATTTTTTTTTTTATTAAGAATTTTTTGCTTTTCATTCAAAAGAAGCCTTTTGCATTCTCTCTTTTTAACTGATTTTTCAACATCATTACTCTCACAATCTGAAACCATGATTATGTAAACCTTATCAATCATTTATTTCTAGGAGTTTGACTGCAGGTAACAAATTGTATGAAGCAAATCTGCTGGTAAGGAGAGATCACTGTACTACTATTGTAGATATGTGTGGTCAAAGCCGGGACAAGGGTCTTGTGTTCCACCATCTAGTATACAGTGTTCATCACTCTATTACATCTTAATATTTATAAAGTAGCATTTATATAAAATACAAATTTTATTGTAACCTAATTATGTACATTAATGGATCATATGCAATATAGGTGAAAAATTCAAGAAGAATTGCAAATAAATACAACATATCTAAATACAAATTTGAGACATGTCATAATAGATCATTCCATCTTAAATAAATCAATGTTTTGTGGCAATTTTTAACATCAGATTTTTCTTGTTAAAATGTTGAATTTTAACACATCCAACATTATGGATAAAAAATAGTGAATTTTATTTAGTGTTTTTTCCTGACTTAACATGAGCAAAATGAATT